GGGAATCTACGGTGCCTCAGCTGTAAAATTACAGAAGATATTCCCAAGAAAATCAATGACCAAGAGAAAATAATAATGCTACTAACTTACTAATGTGCAGTTGGTGAGAGAGGTGAGAAGCATGACTAGTGAAAAAAAGTGTTCCACCCCAGTGTTTAGGGTGTATCATCGCTGTTCTCTAACTCAGTCCTGATGAGGATGTGGTGGTTGTGGATGTGTTTGTTCCTGGCCTCTGTGTCAGAGTAAAGCAGTGTGTGTCTATGCTAAATCCTGAGGTTTTTGAGTTGTTTCTGAGGGGAAATACTTAAAAGCTTTGCCTGAGAATTGGCACCCACACACTTCAAGACTGGAGTAAGCATATTCACTTGGATGGGCCAGCATGGAGTGTTATCTGGTAGGATGGAGAAAGAAATTTTAATAACTCTTTTCCTGTAAATAAACACATTAGCAAGAGGTTTGTTTTTCTTTTTCTTTTTTTTTTTTCCTAAGAAGAGTGATGCTTGAGTAAATGCTTTCATGGGTCTGTTTATACACATGGAAGTTGCGGACAGCGCTATGCACCCAAACATTAGACTGTATGTTTTTCTCCCAGCCTGATTTAATCCATGGTGAGATCTGTTGCTAAAGATAGTAAAAAAAAAAAAAAGGAAGAGCTGACTGAAGTAACTAAATGCTACATATTTTATGGATAGCGGTCATTTCTGAAAGTGAAACCGAAAATGAAAACAGTTGGTTTTGTTGTTGTTGTTTTGTTTTTACTTTTGTGGTAAGAAGAAAACAAAATATTTTTTTGAAAGTAGAGATGAGGCAAAAAAAAAGATTATGGTGAGGAAACCCGTTAATTATTGTGAAAAATGCAAGTAACAGTCAAATCTTTCAAACCATGGATAAAGAAAGTTTTTCAGATGTTTTGGATCTTGGCATGATATATAGACTAAATCATAATTTTAAGAGTCAATGTTTTCCTATGAAAAACCTCAGCCTTTCAGTGGTGAATTCAGACTGGGGACTAGCCTTGTGCAAATTTGTGCAAATCAGCCTGAATCTTCCTAGGAGACTCCTCTTTGGGAGCTATGTTTGAATTCTGTGACTCAGAAGGCAAGACTGACAGAAAACCTCATCATATTGCTGGTTTTTTACCTTTAATGTATTTTTTAAAAACAATGAAGAAATACAGGTTTATGAGGAGAGAAAACGTTTAATTACTTAAAATAGAACAATGCCTAAAGTGATGTTAAAGCTAGTAGCTAAACGGCATGGCTACCTTACCTATGTGTAGCCCTTGCCAAGACTGGTACAAATATACCAACTATTTTGATTAGACAGTAAGACAGCAAAAAGAACACTAATTTTGCACTTTGCCAAACATAACTTGCACAGTACTATTTCCAGTATTTTTCCAGAATAATGTAAGTGGAATAGATCAGGACAGAGAAACGTGTATCATTATCACGCTTGTTTCATATAAAGGAGATAGCTCTAGTGTTAACATCATCCTGCCCTTTTTTGGGGGGGAGGGGCCTGTAAAAACATTGTCTGTGCTTATTTACCTCCCCAATTACAGCCCTTAAAAGTAAGAGGGCTGTTCCTAAAGTATAGGTAGAAGAACCTCTTTCTCTAATGGCTATAATTATTTTTAATGTATATTTTTTTAGCTATAGTGTGTTTCTACTGGGTATGAAGGTAACTTCCTGTTTATTTAAGCATTTACTATTACTAATGCTACTTACTAATTACATACTCCGTTTTATTGGACAGTGTTGAATAGGCTAAACTATAAAGGAAAGTAACATAAGGAGACTAGGTTTACGTACTTGTCAACAATTAGGGGTATTGTCACTTGTTTAATGACAGTTTCAAAAATGTTTAAAAATGCAACTAATTTAGGATAAGCAGTAGTATCATAATAGTGTAGTACAAGGTAGTATTTAAATTAGGTCTTTTTTTTTAAACATGTGCCCTAAGAACCTGTACTGGGGCAAGCAAAAGGAATTGCAGTCCTATAAGCTACGTATGGTGCTGAAGAGAGCTGTGCCTCTAAAGAATTGGATGAAAATCCTAGTTTCCTTTACTTGTATAGTCAGTTTTCTTCTGCTGTAGGTGTGGATGTGTCTGGCACGATATGGAGAGAAGTTTATTTTAAAAATAGGAAAGCATGACCTTGAACAACAAAAAATTGCAAGGGTCACAGAGGCAGGTGTGGTACCTGAGCCTATTTTTAACAATTTTTAACTGAGTAGATGTTGCTGGGAGGGGCATCTAAGTTTCTTAGTTTTTGCAACCTTATGTTTTCACAATTATTTTTAGACTCATGTATGAACTTCCTTTTTTATTGCAATAGTCCAAGTACCGCATTTTTTTCTGAGTAATGCTGGTTTTATAGATTCTATGTTTTGTATTTGTGTTACTGCAGTTTTTGCCACTATTCTGAATCAGTATATAGGTATTTTGGTCAGTTTATAATACACTGTTGGTCTTTAAATCAACTTGATGACACTTATTTGGTATTCTTATCTGAAAATGTGCTCTCTTTTTTAAAGACTTAGTTTAGAAAATGAAGATTAAAAGAACAAAATTTTAGAGTTTGTTGAGATTTATTTTTACCTTCCATCTACTTGGAACAAAAGCATTACTAAATAGTACTGCATTTTCTAGGCCTATTGCAAAGAAAAGTATATCTCCTGCTTGAAAAACCACACCATTTAATCTTTCAATTTTAAAAAAAATGTGAATATTCTTTTTCTTCTACCTGCAAAATTTCTAAGCACTGCAGTAGGATTCTGAAGACATGCATTGAGCGGAAGCCTTGGCCAGCTCTCACTGTGGGCATTGTGTGGCCTCGTAGCCCTGTTAATGACGAAAGTGATCTGAACTATGTGTGAAAGATACTGGTTGTAGTCTCATGCAGTCATAATTGTTATTAGTACAAATTTACAAGTGGAATAAAGAGAAAATACACATTACACTGCACTCGGTCTGTGTAAATTTAAAGCTGTTTGGTATCACGTGTTTTATTGTAGAACACCAAACAGCATAGTGATCATCTGTAGGTTTTCTGTATTTATGCATTTTTTTATATTGTTCAGTCAAGTATCTTCTTGCAAACCATTTCTGTGTTACCAAAGAGATACAAAGATGCCAGAGATGTGAATTTAAAAACTAGCCTTTTTACATTTGGAAGACAAACTTAACTCGCGTACTTGGTATTTGCATTTGGTTTTTTTTTTTTATAAACATGCATTTGTTCTGAAGTAATCTCAAACTGTCAATATTAAGAAAAATGTTGCTTTATGCCTGTTCTCACAGGTATGTGGATAGTGTAAGACTGTAGAAGTAAAGAGTTTTGAGACAGGGGAGAAAATCACCATGTGTGAAGGGTTGTGCTAAAAGTTGGGATTTCATTGTTTTCCTTATTTTACACTTACATGATATATTATAAGGTATTTAGGTGCATAGGCATATGTGTCCGGTTTCAGCAGTGCATGCAGAGTAAGAACACTGAATATAATTTAATAAAATTGTGATCTCTGAAAGAGTACAAAGTGGCATAGTAGGGATTATCTTTACAGTGGCATAACTTTCATGGTTGTTTGGAAGTTAAAACCTGCTTGGTATGGGGTTTGTTTCTAGAGTACTTTATTAGCAGAACAAAACTTCAAATGTCACGTGTCTGCACAGTTTGAGTCAGAGTTCAAAATCGGAAGTATAACTTCTTGAAAATTGACTGTAATCGAGTAAATAAACATTGTGAAGCTTAATTAGCTAGCAGCTACGTTTTCACGTTCTTCCTATTGTTTTCCTCATTCTGGCATTGTGTATTATAGGCTTATTGTGGAATTTTTCTTTTCCTAATCCCATATTTATTATGAAGCAAAGGTAGAATAATTTCAGAGGAACAAATTCTGTTCCCTTGTGCTGGTTTAGGAGCAAACTGCTTTGAATGGGGTTATGAAGATAGGAAATCATGGGAGTGGGACCTCGCAGCAAGAGGAGGAGACGTATGTTTGTCATCTCTATTTACCAGAGGGATTATTGTGTGGTGCTTGATTTTCAGTATGTGGAAGAACTTGTTCATGCAGAGTTTTGAGAACTGACTTTCAGTCTCTGCATATATTAGTTGGATGTTCTTTGAGAGGAAAAGAAGAATAGAATGACTTTTCCAGAGAGATCACAGGGGTTCTTGACAGATATTTTGAACTTAAGCTCAGAATTAAGAAATGACAGAGGTGATGTAGATTAATTAAGCAATAAATTTTATATGTGTTTGTGGGAGTTTATAAAGCATACTGTACAAGCAAAGTAGTATACTATTTGTTGTTGAACTGATTGGGAAGTTAAGATTGTCTTGCGTAGTTGCTTGTATAGTAACAAACTAGATTTTAGAGTTGTTAATCAGTAAGAACTATGCTGGTAGTGAAATTTTAAGGGATTTATTGTAACAGTTGCTCTCTGTTGACCTGACTTAAAACTCTTTCTACCATAAGATTGTTTGACAGGGTTCTGGTTTGAGAGTTTGTTCAATGATGAGGTACTACCCTGGTAGTTGTTCGAGTATGAACATTTATGGCATTGCAGTGCGAGCTCCGTAATACACATAATCCAGCCAACTGAAAAAAATTAAAAATCTTGAACTAGTTCAGTTCCAGGCTTGCAATATGGCCCCACAGGTGGTTGTGCTAGGAAGCTAGGGGCAAGCTGTGCTGATTGTGCACAATTATACTATATTTGGTATTGCTGCAATATATCTTATATCATGAAACCCGAGTCTTACTGAAGTAAGATTCTAGATAATGCTCCAAACAGTATTCCTGCATATTAGAGAAAGGGTACCTGAAACCTTAAAACACAGATCTACACTGCATCATTTTACTTAGAGAAAATACATTAATAAATTCAATAGAATAATTGGCATGGGAAGAGTTTTCAGGGCCCTGGTGCTGGCCCATATGTATTTTTCTTAAAACTATATTTATTTTAAAATTATATAATTTCATTGAATTTCAGGTTCACAGAACAACGACACCAAAAGACAGTTTCTTCTAGAACGGCTGCTGGATGCAGTTAAACAGGTGATGAAATCCAATACATATTTCTACAGTAAACTTACTTTGAGTAGTTAGTACTAGCAGGAACTATCTTTGCTCCTTTTTTTCTTCTTTACCAGCTAGAGAAGAAATCTTGTCTTTCACACAGTACTACACGGCTTTTGTGTCTGCTAGCAAAGAACTATTATGGAGTATTTGTTTAAAATGCTTGGATTTGACAGATTACATTTTAATATTTGTATAATATAGAATATGTATTTGTATAATACAGAATATGTATTATAAATACATGTATTTGTAATTTTACTGTATTGTAATTTTACTGAAGTAAATTGTACTGCACTGCAAAGGCTAAACAGTAGCAGCTTTTTTTCTTTAGGATTTTAGTGAATGGTTAAAATACAGGTGAAGACAGGATTTATGTGTGTACATTTCATCAACAGGAGGCTCAAAAAGTAGAATTTCATAGACTGGATTCAATTTAGGAAAGCTTGGAGGCAAAAGAATGCCTCGCAAGTAAGCCAATTATGTATTTTATGAAGAATGTAATTGTAGCACTGAGCAGTGTTCTTGTGAGTGTACATTTAAACCTCAGAAGTAGTGTTAGTCAATTTTAAATATATTGAAGGACCTGCAGGTGTGTTGTTCTGGCTAGTGAGAATATATATAAACTGCTGCAAGAGTAGCCAGTTAGTAGGATGTGATGCTCTAAAGGACTTTTTTTATTGCAGGCTGTATATGCCAATGCTTTATTTTGTACTGCTTCCTTTTCATTATGACTTTGTTTCTTATATGGAAATATTTCAGAATATTGAGTTTGTTAGTGTAACAAAAATCTTAAAATCTGTTCATTGCAGTGTCAAATACGGTTTGGAGGAAGAAAAGAAATTGCTTCAGACTCTGATAGCAGGTAAAATAGTCTAAGAAACTTTAAGCGTGCTTAGATTATGTAGCATAGTAGCATAAAACACGTGGCACAAAATATTTGACATACTCAGTAAAAATCTAGTTCCTTTCTTTTTACACAAACATTGACATGGGAATTTGAATTTTTCATCATACTACAAATTTGACAGCTTAACAAGAATGTTCTTCTGTATGGAGTTACAAGTGTTTAAGTGGCTGCAGAGAGGGAGCATTGAATGCTGAGGCCTGAACATATGACTGAAAGAATTTGTTTTCCCTTAAACCTCTTTTAAAATGAATGTATATTTATTACCAATACACCTGTGTTTTGGGAAGCTTGAAATGTAAGTGTCAAGTGTGTTTACAACAGTCATTAAAAAAAATTTCTTTCTTATTTTTCTTATTCCTGACATGTTTTAAAACCTTTTTTTTCTATATGAGAAGTTGCTCCATTTTATTAATGTGAGAGTTCTACTATGCCTATCTACACTAGACTTCTCTATGTTTTTCTTTATTTGTTTAACATACCCTTGTGATACTATCTAGTAAAACTCTGTGTGTTGGATATTGTAGAATACAGGATTTTATTTTGTTTTGTTCTACTAGTGACTGAATTTTCCTCTAAAATGCTGCACAGTTTTCTTGCTTTGATCCTTGGTTATGTGGATTTTTAATAACATGAACTTTTTCACAGAATCTAGTTTCTGTTCTGCTTTTGAAAAAGTCAAGTAGATTTTTTTTTTTCTTCTTTTTCCCTGGGCCATCATGTATTCTCCTGCAATTTTAACAGCAGCAGGTTTTTTTGGCATAAACTAGTCACACTGCTCTACAATCATCTTAAGTATTGTTTGAATTACATTCTGCTTTATTAATAAAGTTTTCCTAACAAAGTAAGGTTTCCTAACATAAGTGTACTGGAAAGCAATACTTGTTAAAAACTCTGTGTGCAGGGCAATTGTGGTAAATATACTTCTTCTGTCAGTGCTTCTTCTGAGATCTTGTGCTTTTTTGGTCACCCTGATAGAACTCTGTGCTTCTGGAATCCCGGAGCAGTCTCCTGAGCAACTTTGTCAAATATTTTGATTTATTTCCTTGAAGTTAAAGTATCTGTCCTTCCTTTTAGTAATCAGCTTTGGCAGCCAGATAACCACTTTCTCCAGGCTTAAGTTTTAAGCATTGTTTATTTAGTGGCAAAAATAAAACTTAGAGAAAATAAGACTTCAAACAAACAGATTGTGTCCATGTCTGTTACACCCTAATCCTTACTATTCCCTGTAGGTTACAATAATATTCCTTTCTTTTTCAGGCTGAAATGTAAAACTTTTCTGGTTTGCAACGTTTCTGTTTGTGTGAAAAATAATTTTTTAACTGGGTTTTCTTTAAAAAAAAATCAGGAAGTTTATAAATAGTGACATAGTGTTGTAGGGAACAACATAAAAAAAATGAAGATTCAACACATCTCCAGGAAAATCTTTCATATTTTTCTATGCCTAGGATTTCTGAAGGACGTTAAAATCTATGTTTAGTTGTTTTCCTGGTTTTGAATTATAGTGTGCTAATGCAAATTAACAAAATTGTCTTTAAATTGTATAGGAAGTTATAACATATTTACAGAAAATCATTCATTGCACAAAATAAATTTATAAAAATGTGATTGTATTACATGAAAAGTAGGTAATCTGAAACTGAAATAACATGACTGTAGCAGGTGAGGATGGTTTCTCAAATTGATTGCTAATTCTTCTGAATATAATTTGTGCTCCATCTTTGACTAATCATGATGAAGCTGTGAGTATAAGTAGATTATTCTGTGATTATACTGTTTGCATGTAATGAGATTAGTGCATACAAGGATCTTGCAATATGTATAATGATGCACCTTGACATTCTCTATTTGGAGATGTGGAATAAACCTGCTCTATAGAAATATAGTTGATTGTTCTTTTCACATGATTTCTTTAAAAATTCTGTTACAGAGTCACTTGTTTGTGTGCTCAGTTTGAAGCTGTGTTACAGCATGGTCTGAGGAGGAGCCGAGGATTAGCATTAACAGCAGCAGCCATCAAACAGGCAGCAGGTTTCTCCAGTAAAACTGAAACGGGTAATTTGTTAGTCATAACTTTTCTAAATAGTTGAGAAGTGTGAGCAGGTAGAAGTTTTAAGCAACGGAGCAAACTGCAGACTGTTGGTAGCATATTTAATACTTGGACTGTCGTTAAGCAGTGGAAATGGTTAGTGCTTTCTTAATCTAGTCTGTATTTGGTGCAATGACTAGTGATTGTCAGACTATACCACATAGCAATGGTTCAAGTCTTACAGTTGAATTATCTGAAGTTTGTTCATTCTTTTCACCCCGAGAAAATGGTAAGAGGTGACTTCTAACATTTCACAATCGTCAATAAGATAGTTCTAAAGTTATTTTTAACAGCTGAATGGATTAACCTGTTCTGTGGATGAAATACTAGCTTAAATATGCTTTCAAATGTGAATTCTGTTTAAAAATTAAGAAGGAATCCTTTAATGTGTTTGGGTCTTTTTAATCAAGGGAAGAATTCTGAATGCTGAAATAACTCAAGTTCTGTAGAAATAAATAACCTATTTAACTGAAGAGTTAGTTATACAAAGATGGTAAATGATTCACTGTTGTTCAGAGTTATGTACTGTTACCTGCTTGGTATTTAAAATTGCATGTGAATGTGTTCAAATATGAGCTTAGCATTTTTTGGTGGTTTTTTAATAGTAATTAGTATTACTTTTTTTTTTTTTCCCCTCCAGAGCCAGTGTTTTGGTACTATGTGAAAGAAGTTCTGAATAAACATGAACTGCAGCGCTTTTACTCTCTGAAGACAATTACTACAGATATTGGTAGAGGCAGGGCTTGGTTGCGTTGTGCATTAAATGAACATTCCCTGGAAAGATACGTTCATATGCTGCTTGCAGATAAGAATCGACTCAGGTACCATATTTGATATCTTAGTAATGAAAGAAATGTATAGACAAATGAAGTCCTGAGATTAAAAAAAAAAACAAGCAACCAATCAAAACCACATATTAATTGCTATGCTAGTGAAGGCACTTAATCTCATATTTTCATTTTGTTAATTTTTTAACTTTTGGCAGCCATTAAGATAGTGGCTTATATCATCATGTGACCTGAAACTGTCTTCACTCTTAACACGTGAGAATACGTGCTTCTATCTTCATCTCAATTTCCATCCTGTTTCCCAACTCCCTCACTTCTTTCAGCAGTTTTCCTCACTGAGACCTTGACAATCATGCTTTGAGGTGCTTTTCTCATTCCATTAAAATAATAACCCAATTGCAGCCTTATCAGTTCATCCATGGTAATTGCCTGTTGCCTTTTGGAGATGTTCATCCTGTAACTGAAAAGCTCCAGCAGTCAGGCTGTAGGTAGCTTCTACTGCAGAGTGATTGAAAGTGGTTTTCTTGTTGCAGTTACTGAAAATAACTTACTATGCGTTGTGAAGTCCTGAGGTATTTTGGAAGTGCAAAACGCGCTTTATTTCTCGTTTAACCAAGTCCTATCTTTTTCTTCATGCATCTTCAACTCCTTTTCTTTTTGAAAATTTGGGATATTTTCCTTCTTTGTCAATAATTGATGAGCTTGATCAAGTCCACTGGATTCAACAGAAAGGAATACTTTGCATTTGCATCAATTAATGGATGTACTACATAAGATTATTGCCAGAACTGAGCTTGTTAGTGTTTGCTTTTTGTTTTCAGTCTGTTCTAGTCCTCTGTAGCTTTCTTGCAAGATAGATTTTGAGGCAAAATCAAATAAAGATGAATGAAATGTTTCAGAGCTTCCGGGAGTTACTTATTTTTCAGAGTTTTCATGTCTTTTAGAAGTGGAATATATGTGAGTATAAGACTTCATATTATTTTTTAATTTCCTTTCCAATTACAGTGTCTTCTATGAAGACTGGTCTTTTATGATGGATGAAGAACGTTCTAGTATGATCCCTACGATGGCAGCTGGTGAGACTTTCTCCTGAATGCTACTGTTCTTGGCAAACTATTTCATTTGGGGATGTTATATCTACTTCTGATTGTGAGGAGCTTCTCAAACATACTCCTTGTTTATGTGGAGACTGTCAGGTGCACATTCAGGGTGACTAGCCAAGGTATTATGCCTATTTGTGCTATGAACTGATGGACTGTTACAACATTGGATCTGGCCTTCATACAGTTCAAAAGTCTATCATGTAAATTTTCTAACTCTTTATTAGCCAAGACTAACTTTTTGGTTTTTTTTAAACTAGTACAATTTAGAGAAAATAATATGAGTTATTCCTGACTAGAAAAGAGCAGTGACAGATTTTTATAGTAAGACCCATATTATAGGTAATTATATGGAAGGAAAGTATGAGTAAGGAGTGATAATAGACAGTTTACTTTTCTAGAGTTTGACCACAGAAGTGATGTATTAGTACCTTTTAACACCCCTTTTCTCAGATACATGGTAACATGCTTCGTTCTGAAAGATGGGGTTTGCAGGAGTTTTTGTTAGTAGAATATAGAGACCAACAAATGTTAAAGTTTTGGTGAAATGAGTTTAAATAAAAGGATATAAATAAATGAGTTCGCTGTACTTAGTGTTTATTTAATGCACAACTGAACAGCCAGCATTCAGAACTGATTGCATCAGCTTGAATATCATCTGAAAAAGAATGAATAGTACATGAAAGGGTAAGAATTCGTTCATGGAGAACTGTGGGGGATTTTTTTGGGGAAATCCTTAGTTTCTATCCTCGTAACTTTTATATGAGGTGGTATATAGTAAGTTTTCTCCCCCCTTTCTTTTATCTGAAGGTCTGAACTCCATTCTTTTTGCAATCAACATTGATAACAGAGATTTAAATGGGCAGAGCAAATGCACACCCACAGTGTCTGATTTGTTAAAGGAATCGACGCAAAACGTAACTTCGTTATTGAAAGAATCCACTCAGGGTGTTAGCAGCCTTCTTAGAGAGATAACTGCATCATCTGCTGTCTCGATTCTAATAAAACCTGATCAAGATACTGACCCACTTCCTGTTCTGTCAAAGAATGTAAATGCCGGTAAGCATTTTTGCAATGTTACTGTCATTCAGAAACTTAGAAAATATTGAAATATGTTTAAACAACTTTTCCAATTAAATTTAATACACTATAATGGAACAAAAACCTTACAAATAAGTGCATTACACAAAAAAAATAGTTGAATGTGAAATAAAAAGTATGACTTTTTTAGAAATAACTAGTGTGCATACTGGTGTAAATTTGGTTTATTCAAATGCCATTATATGTTGAATGTTAGAGCAAGTCAGGTGTTTTCATTAAAGTTCTTTGCTGTAGTTCGATTTGCATCCAGATTGGGTTTTTACATTCTCTTAAAAGTATAGTAATGTGTTTTATGGATATGTAACAGCTGGACTTGAATTTAAAAAAACCAAAACAGTCCAATTATGAATTGTCTTGGTGAGTAAATTTCGTAGAATGCTTCAACTTCGCAAGATCATTCAGCCTCGCGTGCGCGTTGGAATCAGTGAGAATAAGTAATAGGTTAAAAATAACAGCTGTCACAGCATGAATGTGGTGTAATCAAAGGGGATTTCAATGTATTTCTAGACCAAGAGCTAATTAACTGAGAGAGGGACCAAGTTTAATTTCTTTTTCTGAAAACTGACCGCTCAATTTTTAGAATACAGACGAAGCTAATTTTATTTGATTGCAAGTTGTGGATTTTGTTTTTATTTTTGAGTTTTTACTTTTTACACCCAGAAGTTTTCTCTCATGTTTTCTCTCTTGTGTAGGCATGCTCTGCATAGACATATTCCATGGGAGAAAGTGACAGAAAGGCAAACTTTTTATTTCTATTTTTAATTTTATAAGTTTGTTGAACACTTTTTTTTCCAGTTCCTATTGCATACTATTATGAGTGCACCTCCAAAATATCTTCTAAAATCTGAATTATGTAAGGCATATTAAAGAAAGAGGGTAGTTAAAGGTTTAAAAGCTTGTGTTTGGAAAAATGATGAAGAGCTGTGTAGATCTAAGTGGTTTTTTTCCTTTACTAAACTCGTTTAGTGGATGAGTTCTTTAAAGAAAAAAAAAGTATGTTACAATGTTTCTCTGTTCTAAACTGTATAAACCTTTGTGTTGCTACTAGATTCAAAATATAGAAAAGATCGAAAAAAGAAGAAGAGAGTGACAAATATTATCTCGTTTGATGAAGAGGAAGATGAGCAAAATTTGGGGGATGCCACAAAGGCTCTGGTTACAGGAGAAAGTTCAGAGGAGAGTGTAGACAGATCTTCAGTTTTTGTATTACCTTCATCTGAAGGCTCTCTTGGAAAAAATTTGAATGGGAATGAAAGTAACCATTCGTGGAAGAGCGATTCAGTATTCATGAATGGAGAATATGAGTATCGGAAACTAGATGTGAAGAGCATTGATGATGAAGATGCAGATGAGGATGAGCTATATGGAAAATCGTTAGGAAAGAAAGGGACAGAAGGTGAAACTGAAGCCTCTGAAAAGTAAGTGATATTTGTAGGAGCCAATGGAAAATTTTCCATACTTTCCCCCTCACCTCCTCTCTTGATGGGAACTGGCATGTAACTAGCTGAACTATAGGCTTTTTTTAAAAAAAAAATTTTTACTTCTCTCTCTCTTTCCACACCCCCATCTTTTTTTTTTTTCCCCCATTGTTTAAACCATTTGGGTCACTGTGGTCATGGTATTTTGCTTCTGAGTTCCACTGAAAACCAGACTTTTGAAGTTTCAGACTTGTTTTTTTTAAGTTCCCAGTTGTTGAAATGACTGCATCATATAGCCAGGCTGTAGTTCTGGCCTATTGGAAGTTTCCTTATTCTTAGTATGGCATCACTTCATATTTTGGCTTCACAGTAAACCTGAATGTTTTAAACAGAGTAAACTTGTTATCATTTGAATAGGTAGTTAAACGAGGCAAAACTGAGAGAAAAAGAATAGTTTTAGATACTGATATGCCCTCTTTCTTTCTGACACAGAAATCCCTTTGGAGAAAAAGAGACAAGCACTGCTAGTCTCATCTGCTTTGGAATTGTCTCATCTTTAATGAATTTACATACGTCTGAACCACAAAATTGGCAGGCAGATTGAAATAAAGATTTTTCTTGCCATGATATCTCTGAAAGAAATGCAAGCATAGTGGAACATGAATATTGACTGTATAAATAGCTTGGTTTGTTTGTTTTAAACCTAGGCCTCATGAAATAGGCACATGCAATTCTCAGATATGCAGTTGGACTCCGCTGCAGGTCCTGAATGATGATTCGGATGTCCTATTTCCTGTCAGTGCCATTGGCTCTTACTCCCAAGCTGGTAAGTATTTTAATTTACTGAATTCCAGCAAATTTTATAACAGAATTTCTAACATGGGACAATGTTAAAAAATAATGGGATTTTAAGGACATAGGAGATGCTGCACTAATGGGATGGGACATCCAGTTAAAATTATTCTAGATCTGAATCACAGTTCTCCATTTGAGTAGATTTTTAGTTGAGGAGGATTTATCAATGTAAGAATAAACCAGAGTTTTGTTGGGATTAAGCTGTAGTCTTGTATGGTATTTTATTGATTTTTAGGAAGTCTGAATGGAAAGGATCCTTTGTTTTCTAGATAGCGCTAAGCTGGAAGAAGCTGCATGTGTGTTTGAGAATTTGAATTCAAATTAGTCTTGACACAGATTGGAGAAAATATCAAATATTGGATGCAGTTCAATAGAAACTGTTATATGTTTATATACAGGATGAGGAATGATTGGCTAGGAAATATTTCTTTGGAAAATGATGTAGGAATCATAGGGTCTTTGAACAGTTTGGGTGGGAAGGGATGATCCAGTCCAGCCCCTGCTATTGGCAGGGACACATCCCACTAGACCAGGTTGCTCAAAGCCCTGTCCAACCTGGCCTTGAACACTTCCAGAGGGGGGGTATCCACAACATCTCTGGGCAACCTGTTTTGGTATCTCACCACCCTCATCGTTGAAAGAGTTTTCTTCCCTCTTTACATATGGAAAGGTTGCTGTAAGATCTTCCCAGCGCCTTCTCTTCTCCAAGCTGAACAACATCAACTCTCTCAGCCTTTTTTCATTGGAGAGGTGCTCCAGCCCTGTGATAATCTTCGTGGCCCTCTTATGGGCCTGCTCCTTGTGGGCATGCCTTTCTTGTACTGTGGGCCCCAGAGCTGGGTGCAGTGCTCAAGGTGGGGTCTCACAGGTGAAATAGAGGGGAAGAATCAACTCGCTCAACTTGCTTGCCGTGCTTTGTTTTATGCAGTCCAGGATGTTCTTGGCTTTCTGGGCTGCAAGAACCAATTGCCAGCTTCTGTCTAATGTTTCATCTGCCAGTACCCTTAAATCGTTTTCTGCAGGAGACTCACTGTAGTGGGTCATGAACTGATGGTGACTTAGCCATGCCGTGCTTCTGCAGGAGAAGCACCCTTCATGTGCATGTCCATAAAGGAAAGTGTCGTTTGTTGATTTATGTTTTCTTGGCTCTGATGGGGCCTCAGCTGCAGTATTGTACGCGGTTTGGGGTACTGAGCTGCTAGAACGATGTGGGCCATTTGGAGAAGATCTTGAAGGAACCAATGAAAGTGGTCACAGGTATGGAAAAAAAGATCTGGTGCTTTTCCAGTGTCTCTGTTGGTACAAAAAACAAACAAGAAACTTCCACTGGCCCAGCCCTCTCCCACCAAGCTCCCACCCTAAGTGAATATTTTGCTAGCTGTTAATAAAACATTGCTTTTATAAAACTTCAGGTATGTGTTCTTATTTCAGTGACCACTTAAGAACTTCTCAGTGGGTTTCAAATAATGTTAAGTGTAAAATATTTCATATTTTTCGCATATACATTATATGTGTCAGGAGGCACACACATATATGGACCATTAATTAAAAGCGTGTGGAAAAAGTTGTGTAAATTCAGTGATAAAAATAATGTGAATCATAAAATAATGCTGTACTGCCCTCTGCTGTATTTTAAGACGCGTACCTCTTAGGAAATGCCAATGGTTCAAAAAAATAGAAAGTACATTTTCTTTTGTTTTTTTGTGCTCCCACATTTTTCAATTTATGAAGGAATGGATTTAGAAAATATTACATAGTTTGTGGCATAGTCGTCTCAAATTTTGTTAAAAAAAATGCATAGATTTGTAAGTGTTTGCTGACTGCAACAGATTGAAATCTGGAATTACAAGTAAAACATTCCTGTTTATGGTGGGGAAGGTGGTTTAATGGGAACTTGCAGTTGAGTTCTGGGAATCAGTAGCCAGTCGGACATCACAAGGCATCAGGAGCTAGGGCTGAGGATAGCTGAAATCAAGTCAGGAGATCAAGCCAAGAGTTAGCACTGAAGACAGATGACCAGAGATGACAACAGTGTCACAGAGGCTTACATTCATTAAGGAGATGCCAGAGTCCCTTGTTTCATCTTGCTTTTTCTCAGAACTGTTTTGAAGGCAATGCTCAGACTGCTAGAGATGATCAACAACAGGCCTGTTCAGATCCCTTTCCGGTAGAGCATACAGATATTTTCTCTTCTTCTCCTGCACATCTTTGTCTTTGTGGTAAACCCTATGGTCCAGTGTGCAAGCCGGAATGATAAATCGTTGGGCTGGCGAAAGGCATCTTCATCAGTTAGAGGAAACAGCAGCACAGATTCTGCTGTTGAATTTCCCGATTTTAGCTTTCCGTGCTGTCACTGGGCCCTTCTCAACAGTCTTGAACTGACACGAGCGCGCAGACAGTCTTCCCTAAAAGGCACATCATGCAACCCAAATGCCAGTCAGTTCGGGAGAGCAATACACATGGATACAGTCAACCTCTTCCTGGCCAGAATGACAGTTTGATGGGATTGAAAGCTGCCTTAAGCAGTTGTTCACTTGACTTTGGAAGTTATGCTTTTGCTAGATGAATGATAACGGAAGGAATGTGGGTTAGCGTTTTCTCGGGGCAATTCAGCCCAGTAACTGGCAAGCTCTTCAGTATTATTATGATGATGATGACAACATTTTTGCTAAAACATGCATACTGAGCTCGTGTAAAATATATATATTTTAACCCAGTATTTTGGTTTATAGGTCTTAATTCAGATAAATAATAATGTTATATTTGAAATAGATTATAGCACAATCTATAGTGTTGCATGTTATCTGTGTTTTCAATTTTAGTCTGTTGCAGTGCTTCAGGGATGTGTCAGGGTGTATCATATCTCTGCGTACCTAGAGATGGGAAAGCCCGAATCAAAATTCAGTTGCTTGCAACAAAAATGAAGTAGGCATTTTAGGAACTGATCTTCAGTAAAACCGTAGCTTAAAAAATGAACTTTCTCCTCTGTAATAATTCTGACATAACTCTTATTCCCGCTAACTTTTTTCTAGAGTTCTTGCTCTTCAAATTCTGTGCTACTTTAGCTCAAGATTTTAGAATTGTTTAGGATTTTAACTTTGTAACCCTTACATGGTGAGATACATAAAACCTCAGTAAAATGTGATTTTTTTGTTTCTTTCCACCTGAACTACTTTAATAACAGGCCTAGCGATGTGTATATTTTGATCCTGATAGTTGTGGATCTGTGGGCAGATGCATATTATACATGCTTTTAAAAAATATCTCATCTATCTGATTCCTGATGCTTGATACAAAGGTGTAAGGATCCAGAGAAAAGCCACGGTGCTCTGTGGGAAACGTGTAATGGACTGGTGTGTTTGCAAGGTTTCATGTACTGGGAACTAACCACAAATTCCTTTCTTGCAAGTCACAAACAGATTTGTACTGAGCATCAAATGACATTTGGGGGTTAAACTTCAGGGGTTTGCAAAAATAACTTCGGTAAGGAATCTCTTCATAGCTTTACTACATTGGTATCAATTTAAAATGTACTTCTAAACTACGATTTAGGAATTGTGCAATGCTATTTGTTTTCTAAACCGATGGCTGTTTTCCCAAGGGATTTCACAATCCTGCTGTCATTCAGGGTGAATGTGCAGAAGCCAACCTTGGAGAAAGAACTTAAAGTGTTTACAAACTTTAGTAAAGATGAGTGCTTCTAGTTAAAAATGTAATTACCATCTTCCTGGTTTTGTTTTTACTTCATATTTTAAGTACTGTTAAGAAAGGTAATACTTGTGCATTGTACTTTAGATAACTTGGAGAATGGAGATGGGCATGAACATGTTGCTCACGCAGTAGAACTAGTTTCAAGAAGATCAGATCTTCCTTACAGGTACATGTCAATTATGTTTTTCTTAAAAGAAAAAAAAGTCTTCATACTGTAGCTGCCTACTTATTATTGTTACCTAATGCATAGGTACTTGGTACTGGAAAACAAGCTACTCATCAGGTTACTTTTGTAAATGTTTGGAAAGACAAATGGAAAAGCCCTTTTACACTTTTCTTTTTGCGTAGTTTCATGTACTGAACTTTCCTAATTAACTTGAAGAAGTCATGTAGTCATCAAATAACAGGCAGACTTCACCTTCTGGTTTTGAAATGAGGTTTTATGCTGGTTTTTATGCTATTTTTTACTGTTGGTTTGGATGTTCTTGTATGTGTTCTTAAATCAGACTCACAACAGGTACATTAAATTAAACATAAGTTCGTTGAATGTGTGTGAATATGATGACATTGTTTGTTTCTGGAATGCTTTTGAGTTGAGGATTTTGTTTTCACTTATTGATGATATTGTGCTTTTATGATTAGAGTGGAAGTCAGTCCTCCAGCTCAAGTGAATGCTTTAAGCAATATGTTGCCTTCAGCCACTGTGCCAGAATCCATGACAATTAGTAAGTATTTCGTTGATGTATCTGGATTGATGGAATTACATTTGAAAGTTCTATAGCTCTTTATTTCTGGTTTTATTTCGGTAATATCTCTTTAGAGAGGCATCTGGCACTTCACTTCTGTTATGCCGGCCCCATTAGAAATGACTGCTCCGAAACAATTTTTGACTTGGCAGATCCTACGTTATGGCTCATTGCAACTTCATTACTGTGTGTGGCTTGAGTAGTTAAATGAACAATAACGATTTAATCTGATATATGTATTTAAATCTCTGCAAACTCTGAAAACACTAATGGTGATGTGATCTTACTTACTTTGCCTGCTTTCATTAATGCCTAGTCTCAAAAAACCCCCAAACAAATCCAGAACTCTTTTCTAAGTACACTCAGTCTGTGGTTTTGATAATGAAATCTGCTCCAGACATTTTTATGGGCTTTCATAAACAAAAACTTTTTAGTTAAGATTAAGGTAGAGGAAAGTCATGTTTCCAGTGGTGTTAAGAGTTGAGCTGGACACAAAATGGTGGCTTTTGTTCTAAAAAGGGATTAGTAGAACCACAGGCAGTTTATTTACTGCACCTTGTTTTTTTTTTTTTTTTTTTCCACATAAACTCATAAAACAAAGGCTTAGTTCTTAAACTGACTAGTTTTCTAAACATATAAGACATGTAGTTTTATTTTCTTCACTGTACAGAAAGCTTAGTAGCTAAACTGGTGAAAGTAGCTTTGTTCTTAAAGCTCTGAGGTGTGTGTTCATCTGTTTCTTTTTGCAAATTGAAATAGGTACTCATTTTTAATTGTGTCACTTGGGTAGTTAGAAGTGATGCAATCAAGAATCTTTTCTGAAATTGATGCATGAAATCATGACAATCAACAAACCTTAATATACTCTAATCTCAGGTTCTAATGTCCTATTCAGAAAATACCTGTGTCAAGGTATGTTAAAGACCTTTTGCTGGGTACTGTTTCAGGCTGTGGCAGGGGTCTGCTGACTGAGCTTTAGAAAGGTGAAAAATCTTTTCTTATGAGGTGCTTCATGAAGTGAGAACCTAGTTTGAGACTTAAGTGACGTAACTGAAAGTGTAGATGGAGTTACTGTTGATAGTTACTGCAATACTTTATTCACTGGATATCACAGGATCACAGAATGGTAGGGGTTGGAAGGGACTTGGAAAGTTCATCACGGCTCGTATTATTGCTACAATATCGTTTCATTGTTGCATTCTGATTTTATTTTTTTCAGGAATAGATTTTTAATGGGAAACTTTTTGATTTTATTGCACTCAACTTTATTCTTTCAAAGGTGTTTTAGGTACCAGCAGGGGCCGCAATTGGTCTCCTTCATTGCTCATTTAGTTCCTGTGTGTAGATAAGGCAGCTACACAATAGAAACTGAATCTTGAGTTTTTCAGTTCTCGATACTAAGCAATTTGTAAATGAATTGAGCCAGACAATCAACAGAAGTGTACATGCTGCCATTAGTTTCTCATTTCAGAGAAAGTTTTGGTGGAAGGAAGGGAGGAAGCATGTCAAAACAATCTATAAAGCCAGTAGAACACTTAGTAAATAGTCTGTTTATCATAATAATCAAAATTCAGATGGCTATACATATAAGTTAATACCTTTATAATAGCTGGTCCCAGGTACATGTGTTAAAAATGTTTTTTTCAAGGTTGTTGTTAGTAGTTGTAGGTTCTCCGTACAGGAAGAATTCAGTGCTATGACAAAAGCCAGACGCTGAAGCTCTTTTTCTGTATTGCAATTAGCAGAAAAATTATTAAATGGGGAGGCTTATAGCTTGGTTGCATAGCAACTAGTTCTAACACATCAGACAAGAAAAATGGAACGCAGTAGTGCAGTGAGAAAGGCTGTGAGGTCTCCAGTGACTGGATTTTTGTGCTTCTTACTTCTAAAGACAAAGCCTGAAATGATTTTTTTAGGAAATCTATTCTTTTCCTGCTTGGTTTCCAATTTACTAATGTAATACTAACCTTTTCTCAGTTCTTTTGATATGCAGGCTGGAAAATTATATTATGAGAATCCGTAACTTAAAATTTCTGTCATTTTGAATGATTTTCCTGAATTTAAGTACCATGCATTTGTAAGGTATAGGTTAACTTAGCAGCAGATACATCTCAAAAAATATTAATACCACTCAAGAGAAATTGTAATCCATAGAATGAGAGTTTTGTTGTCTGTTTTAGACATCATTTGAAAGCTTGCCCTACTTTACAGATAGTTGTCTTATGACCAATGTTATAGAGAATCAAGTTTGTCAGAAGTTTTGTATTTGTGTGCCTATTCCATTATGAATTCTATTCATTTTGCCATATTTGAATCATGAACAGATCTATATCTGCTCCAATTATTGTCATTGGAAGATAGGGATAAGCTTTGTAGAGTAGGGTTAATGGTTGGGCTCGATGATCTCAAGGATCTTTTCCAGCCTGAATGATTCTATAATATTTGTAGCGCTGTTTTCCGCCACAAAAATCTGTCCTACCAGCACAAGTCTCCCCATTTTGTTTTTGGAATGAAAAAGAAGGAAGTTCTAAACCTTTCAGTTTAGAAGGATGCTGCTCGTGTCCTTCTTTACAAGGGACTTTGATTATAGTGCTATTTTTAGTAAATAATTGGCAACTTAGTTTTTCCACTGTAATTTTCCTTAGTTTTTGAAGTCAGGCTTAACCGCAAAGGTTACAGCATTGTACATTATCCCATGTTTTTTCATATATTCTTGAGAAAGCCACCGTTTTTTCATGGTCACTGAAGAACTTCACTGAATAATCAAACCTACGTATTATATTTTTATCCTGGTTGCGTCAGTAAACAAGGTCTGTGTTTTTCTACTTTTTCTGTCCTCTAAATAGCTTCCGACTTGTTCTGCAACTTGGTTGCCACCAGTCACTGACAGGTACTAAATTCTTGTGACTTCTCTGGAAGCACAGCTGTGGAAAGAGCGTGTATAAATTTCATCAGTGAGGAAAAAAGCTGCAGTTCATCTTACGGACTTCTTTTTGGTCAGGACCCTTCTATGCAGTAGAAGGCCAACACTGTATTGCCTAATTTGTTTCCTACTAAAATTTACCCTATTAATAGTGACATGACAAGATAATGTTTACAAGATTTTGAAGGACTAAATAAAGCCTTACTAACCAGTGTTCATGCAGGCAGCTTGGGGAGCATGTCTTTAAAGGTCAGACTTCTGATCTAAGATGTAACTAGTCTGCTGGAAGTTTTGTTTGCTCTGAAAATATCTGTGTAAATTTGCACTCAGAAAAAAATAAACCAAAACATTCCTGTAGAATGCTCCCAGCCCACCCTGATATTCTATCTGCAGGATTGCAGAGGAGTGCTGCATGACCTTGTGTACTCTGAGAGATGATTTCACTTGCAGCTCATTCTTGATAACAGGTGATTGCAAATCATACTTACCCAGTCTTTGGTTAAACAGCAGAAGAGTTGTTAAAGTTATGACTTTTCTGAAGGTTGCTGGGAAATTGACAGGTGTTTCTTAAAGCATGGCACTTTTTTATAGCTTTCTTACTCTGAATATGACCTTATAAAAATTTTACGGGAGCCAGATTTTGCATGTAGTGTGCAAGTGAATTAAAAATACTTCAGGGCAAATATTTGCTTGACTAATAATTAGGCACTGCAAATTAATTTCAACAATAAAAGATAATTTTTGATGTTGTAAAAAGTGAGGTTTAATATGAGAAATGTGATGAGCACATTTCTTGACTTTTGTTGTCTTCTTTTACTGGTAAGGAAAGATCTGGTTTGGAATTACTGTTTTGCACATGGGAATCCTTTTTTTTAAAAAGTTGTTGCAAAAATACCTCTTAAGATTGCATAATTTGAAAGACTTCACTCGTGATCATCTTATCTGTCTTTATGAAACTGATTGTCACTTGAATTCTAGATATGTTGGTGTTGAATGCTGATCCTCAATAACAGTAGCATATCTCTTTCCATTAATGTTACTTTACAGAATGCAGATGACATACCAAACACAAAGCAGGTTGGAAGTAGGACATAAACTCTGACATACGTTTTCTGAAGTGGGTATACTTGGCCATTCTCCCACTGTTTTATTGTAGAAAAGAAAAAAAAAAGAGGGGAAGAAAGATTTGAGGTTGTGAGTCTGGAATTCAGAAAATGCCAATTTTCTAGTTGCTGCTACAACTGTGGGAGTTTTTATTAAATAGATTTATTCCTTTTTCTAACCCACACAATCAACGAGACATAAATCTGCCAAAAAGAACAGGTTAGGATTCTATACTGATCTCAGAGGCAACCATAACACACAGACAAAAGTTTATGAACTGTGGATTTGAAGTGAACGTGCCACAGTGTATGATACTGGATTTACCTTGTTTGCATGCAGCCGACTGTTCTCACGTGCTGCTGAAATTTTTCAAGAAGCAGAAGTAAGTGTAAGAAATTATGATCTTTGAAAGTTTTGAATGTTAAGCCTGAATTAAATAGGTTGTTGCCCTTTTAGTTCTATTCAGTTATTTGCATCAAAAGATCATGAAATTAAAGGTGGGGTTATTTTGTGGTTTTTTTTTTTTTTTCTGGATAACTTTATTTAATTATGCTAATGGATGTTTGACTTCTTTATATTTATGATGGATGGAGCAGTTAAAGAAATATTGATGATAAACTGAATAGTTCTTGTAGGTTTTTTGAGGAGTAATTGATGCAAAATATGGCTCCTTAATATTCATTCCTTCCAGATGAAATAACACAGGTGTAGCAGTGAATCAGTACTGCTGCTTGGGTAGAGCACTGGCTGTACAAGCCTCCTTGGAAGCCTGGGCTTTTAGACCAGACTAGTTGTTTGTGCTGATGCTTTCACATCTCCACAGTAATCCATAGTTGAACTGAATTAGTCAAGAAATACCGAGTATGAAGCGCGTTTGCTTATGTGGTCTTAAATTAAGCATTGATTTTTGTCCTATATGTGATAATGAAATTTGGAGTTTCTCCTTTGCTGTGTCTCTTCAGTATTGTCAATTCCATAACTCTCAGAAAAAATGAAGCAAATAGAAATAAAAACCACACTAATGTCTTTTATTCCAAGAGGCTTTTTTCTTCTCCTTTTTTTTTGGAAAACTGTGGTCCTTAACAGAATCTTGCTTTCATGCTCTGCTTACTTATATGTGTGTTGGAGAGGGGAGTGAGGGAAGATGGGATTTCAGCTCTACTCATGCGGAAGATTCCAGGTGGAATAAAAAAAATAAGTTATTAGGCAAGTTAAGGTTACAGTTTGAATAGACTGGTAAAACTGGAAAAATGGAGATGATTTATAATAGCTTTGCTCTTCAAATGTTAATAAATCAGTACATTTTAAAGAGACTGAATATGCATACAGGCAATTACTGTAAGTAGTGACCCCAGCATAAGTGTGGAGCCGGTGCTACAGTAACTTGTCTGAGTAGCAATGACTTTAATTTATTCAGAGAAATAATAATATATTTTAATGACACTCTTGAAATATTTAAAATGTGATTGGGTTGTTGCTTTTTGAAGAGTATTATGAATTCTTCTTTATAGTTAAAGATCTTCATATTGTCATGCAGTATTACTGTACTGAAAGCTTACTATGGATGTTCTTTTGTTGTATACTTGTACAAGGTGTGAACGCTTATTGGGTTATTCTGTTTTCCTCATAACAATTTTTCATGTCATAGATAGGCTGATGGATTGTGGTCCGTTTTCACAACACCATGTTATTTTTTTCAGGACTATTACAACCCACCAATTTCCCACTGCCAAAAGACCCACCAACAAACCACAAAGTCACGCAAACAAAAAAACCTTCAAAACCTCCAACCTTTCCAGTCTGCCCTCTAACTGGGACAGCATCTCAGCATAATCAAAAGAACACTCATAGTGTGTTGAGTTTCATGATCATGAGATTTGATATTTTATTGCTAAAAAAATTTCTTAAATCTTGGAATGTAAGGTTTGGTGTGTTTTTTTTTTTTGTGTGTATGGTTTGTTTTCTTTTCTCCACAAAATAAATGGTACTCTGTAGAAGCTATTATAGACCATGTCGCTTCCAACCCCTAACATTGTGATTCTGTGATTCTGTGATGTTTTGGAAAGAGTCATGAAAATAATGGAACACAGCATATTTTGTCCTAAATAGTTTTTCCATTCTAAGTTTTTTTCTACCCCTACAAATTGTAGTGGTAACCTGGTCATCTCAATGTAACATGTACTGTATGCTTGGCGAAAAGGGTATTCCACCTTTTGTTCCTTGTCCTTATTGACTAAAAGACTGCTTTCTGCTAGGTACCTTGTGGCAGCAACAGTATTAAACTCAACAGTAAGATCACTTGGCAACTGCTTGTCTGAAAAGTAAAAAACAACAACAAACAAACCACCCCCCCAAAAAACCCAGCCAAACAATTTTGAGCTGGATCAGTTCTTGCTAGGACATTATGTATGTAAACACCAGTGCCAGAAAAAGCGAGTTAGTAGCAAGGATGGGTATAACTGGGCAAACTGGGATATCCTTTGTGCTGAAAACACGACCTTAGGAAGACTGATTGCAGTAGCCATATAATCACAGAGTGACATTATCAAGGGAGAAAGCAGAAGTGTCTAGATTTTTTTTTTAATTTTGTGTCTGTTAGTATTCGATACCCACAAATTTCACTTTTGGCTTTTTTACAGGATATTTTTTTTTGATAGCTGTGTAGGAGATGTGCAGTTACTGTAGAAGAATAATTATTCTTTCTGTGCTGAATTAATGGAGTGTAAAAGTCTTCTAATAACCTACTGAAATGTTTCTTGCTAATGTCAATTAGTTCTCAAGCCATAATGTGTAATGGGTCGGGAAATAATAATCTACTTTTTCCATGGTTAAAGAATCAGAAATGTTTTGGAAAAAAATCTGGCATGAAGAAATTGGATTGGCTGATTTCAAGTGATGCGAGAACGCTGCTGAATCCTCCAAGAGTGGTTTACCAGCAGATTACCAATGCTGGAAAGGAACTGTACTGTCTGCACCAACCAGTACATTTGATTCACACAGTAAAAACTTCCACATTTTATCCACTACTAGAGTTTGGCAATCTGATCCACAAGACAACGCTATTTTTTATCTTTGAACTGACAAAAAATTCTGTAAACTGAATGTAAAGGGGAAAGAAGTTGTCCAATGGCTTTGCTTACTTGAAGAAATTAAGTAACAGCTGTTCTGTTAGTATGTTTTCAGTAAAAGCACAAAAAAATTGCTGACATCTGCTTTGAATATTTGTGGAACAGAATTAGTGAATTTATTATATATCAACAAAGGAGCATTTCATTTAACAGTTGGGAGGGATGCTTTACTGTAATTGTGTCCTGCAGAAGCTGTCATAAAATTGTTGATTAACATACATGAGATTAGTAATGATTTTTTTTAAAAAAAATCTAGTTTAGGCCATGTATCTATGCTGATGTTTTCCAGAAGCCCTTCAAATCTTTGAAGGCCTGTTGTGTTTCATGTATTCATGCAAGATCTGGAGGTCAGAATCTGTTTTAGATTAGATTATTAATATCTAGTATTTTTCTGTAAATTTATAGTAAATAGTAGTAGTACAGGTGTACAGTTGTATGGTAAAATCATTGTAATAGTAGAAAGACTTCGGATGAGACAGTGCTTTGAGCTGATGCTTTTCTGTATGGTAGTTGTCTACTCTGGTATCACTGTTAAACCAAACCCTAAAGACATCTTTAGAAATTCTAAAATTATGTCAAAATATTTTTAAAGTTTTTATTCTTGATATAATGACAGAAAGTAGTTTTCAAGTTATTTCTAGGAAATTAAAAGGTATTTGTAGGAAATTACAAGATCCCAAAATCTTATCGTCTTTAAGATGTTCTTCAAACTGAGCTTGAAAGAAATGCTGTGAAGAAGCACTGATGTTATCTCTACTCCGGTCTCACTGTAATTTCCTGTGTCAGAATTTATGGCAAGGAAAACAAACAATTTGAAGACTTTACACAAGTAACACTGTATTTTCTTAATATTCCTGTGGTGAAAAGGTGGATTGTCCTATATGCCTGTGATTAAAACAGCTGCAGCCACATGCAAACTTGCAAACATTTGTATTACAGCCAGATGCAGACTGATTTGATTTGGTCAGTACTTCTGATACTGTGTTAAATTTTTCAAAGATCGCTCAAATTAGTGTTGAGATTAAGGGCATTTTTTATGTACTTTGCTAAATAGCAAATGTTGTTGGCATCATCTTAAGTGAATTAGCCTACCTGACTTTTAGATCTGGAATGAGCAAAAATACATAGAGAAATTAATCTTTTTTTGTCCCTTCTTTTCAGATGAACTTCGTCAAGCTATCGTGGCCATGATGAATAGGAAGGATGAACTGGAAGAACAGAACAGGTAGTTTTCTTTTTCTAGTCAAGAAGCACTATAATTTAAAAATACCCCATTTTTAACACAAACCGTCCTTTTTGTAAAGCTATGTGTAATGTTTGTGTAATCTTTTTGATGTATGTATTATTTTTCTGTAAAATGTGAGCTTAGTATTTCAATATTCGTCTGCTGATCCTGAAGAGTCATGTTTGCAGGTCAACTTTTTTCTTTGAATTTGAATCACGTAAACTTTTTTTATCTTGGGAGCTTTTGCCAGTTGTAGACTTAGAGTCAAAAGATTCTGAAGATAGCTTTCCAAATGAGTAAAAATTTATCCTTATACGAATATTCAGAAAATTTTCTTTTTTCCCCTTCTGGTGCAGAAGTAATATAGGATGGCTAACGGTGTCATGGGGAAAAGTGGCTGTCATTTGTGAGTGTCTTTATATCTCCTTGGGCCAAAATGGTGACGTATGTGTAAGAATAATATGGCACTTGTTTAAAATGATATCGTCTGCTTTGTATCCATTTAGTCTGTTGGAACATATAATTAGATGAATGAAAATACAAATATATTGAAGACATACTGTTGTTATGCCATGATAGAAAAAATTACCAAAAGACCTCTATAGATATTTAAATTTTTTTTATTTTTTAATAATATCAAGGCTACCCATGATCCCATTTTTCTGCCTCTTATCCTCCCCGCTCCCATAGTTGCAAGTTACTGCCCCATTCAGCTTTTCATTTTTTGGCTGAAGGACGAGGATGCTTTGGATTTTATCATTAGGGATCATGCTGACCTTGGCTGTCTCATCAGAGATGTGACACTGAAGCCTGTGGCACTGCTCTCAGTAGAGACAAGACCCCTACTTATCTCCTGCTCTTGCTAGGAAGAATCTATAAACAATATATTTACTGTGGTGTATGGGCTTACATTGAAGCACTGAAACCAGATTATAAGTTGTTTTCTATAATAAATTCATTCTACATGGTGCTACAGTGGATACCATAACAGGTTGTGCTTTGGGCATGTTGATGAGATTATAATACAAATTAATAGTAAGCGCTTACAACTGTTTTGGTTGGGTCCTTTTTCCTTGTAACTTTTCAGATCATTGTATAAACGGATCAGGTGAATTTATTACACTCAGTAATGAAATTTTAGGATGACATTAATGGTATCTTTTAGGCAACTTACTCTGCGATATGTAGAGTATCCTCTAAATACGAGGTAGTGTCTGTGGTGTTCTAACAGGCTGCTGCCTTCTTCCAGATCTCTGAGAAATCTGCTTGATGGAGAGATGGAGCATTCGGCAGCGCTAAGGCAGGAAATGGACAACTGGAGAAGGAAAGCAGCAGAACAGGAAGAGCGACATGCAGTGAAAGTCCAAGCCTTGGCACGGTAAGAAGTGCTGAAAGGGTCATAAAAAGTAACAGCAGTAGAAGAAGGGAGTAAAAAATTGTTCATATAAGAAAATGTAATTTTCAAGTACTTCAGTTTCCAGAAAACGTGAGTAATTTAGGACTAAAAATCCCATGGACTTTAGTTGAATTTAAGCTGAAAAAAAACCTTTGGAAGATTTTTCGGACAAATTTAGTGGGTTTGTGGGTTTTGTTTTGTTAAATGTTAACATAAAGAGAGAGATAAAAATATGAGAAAAACCACTGTTACAGCACCAGAGGAAAGAATGTCAGTGAGCTGAACTTGTGACAACATTAAGTTTAATATAAAAAGTAGTTAAACGAATATTAAAAAATATAACCCATAACAATAGTGACAGATAATGGGTCTAGATACCAAGGAATACGTGTATGTGCAAGGTAAATTTAAGAAAGCTTTTCTCCACGTACCTGTTTTGTCAAGTTCCAGCAAGTTTTTTATTTTTTAATTCATTTGTATTTTATTTGATATTTGGGAGATTTTTGGTGTGACTGTCTGCCCAGTCTTGAACAAATCACATTATCAAGGTCAAGTTTTTTTTCTTTCTGTTGGATATATGATATTCTTAATGATAAAGAACCAAGCACTCTCTGCAAACAGGTTTTTTCAAACCTCAAATCTGATACAGCTGCTGAATATAAAGGGATGTGAAGGGGAACAGAAACACCGTGTCAGTGTTTATTGTGGACAGAGTGATGTTACTGTCCTAGAATAACGAAGTGCTCATTCTAATAGCAAAAGTGGCTCCTTCGGTGTAAAATATAGTGAGTTGTTTGCGGTTTTGTTTTTTTTTTAAATGCACAAGCTAGATTATTTGGATTCTAGCTCTCAGATCTAAAAGTGATTTCACTTAAAGAAGATTTTTGAAGGTAAACGCTGCAGTAATAGTAACATATGATACCTAAGATCATAGGGGTGATTCACATGTATAGTAAACAACAAACCTATCCCAAATGTTAAATAAGATTAGTAATCTGTGCCTTGTCATGTTTGTTTTTTGCGTGCACAGGAGGAGTGTTTAGTGTCAGTTGTGAAGTACCACAGCTCAGATTACTATAAGCTTTTTATTGCATAGCAGAGTTAGTATCTGAAAATGATAAATATAAAACTTGTTTTTTTTTTTTTTTAAAGTATTTAGAGCATTACTAATTCTGTTTTTGATGACACATCAGACTGAACTACTCACTTTGAGGCAGGGATAGATATGCATAAGTGGGTTTGACATTCGTGTGATCTAGGGCAATTGAGATAATGCAAATACTTCATCGTTTAATATTCGCATTTCAGGTTCTAGGAATTGTATATTCATAGTTCTTTGACTCACTTCCCCCACAATTTTAGAATTTGTAGTGACATTTGGGTGAATCAGGTATTTGTCACGCACATACCTTTTTAAAGAATAGGTAAGGAGCTTTTACAGCAAGATCTAAAGAGATGCTCGCTTAGACTAACTTGGTATTTTTAAACAAGTTTATTTAATTTCTTTTATTGCTCCGGAGACTGCATGTGGTGTGTTAATGTTCTTCCGAAAGTCAGTTTACCCAGCTCATGATAAAAACAGTGTTGAGACTTGGGTAGGTAAAACAAATTCTTGTGTCAGTAGTTACTTTGGGCCTCAGATGCGTTTCTTGAATGATTCACCGCAACTTGTTTATCAGCACATGAGAAATTTTACATCTAGTTATTTTTGAATCTAAACTATTTTTTTGTAAATTATATTATTGATTGGCTTTGAACACTGTGATCCTGCTGCAACAGTAAGAGTGGTAGATTTTCAATAACTAATATTTTAAACCAGGATTTTGAGCCAACCGAATACTTGGAAGAATCTGAAAAAACAAAACATTTTGGAAATGCTTTGAAAGTACTGGGTAATACACTAGGGGAGTGAGAGGAAGCTAGGTTTCAGATATTTTATAATAGTGAAATCTCACTGTTTGCCTTGAAAACAATCGATCATATAACTATAGTAGAAAAATTTCCTTAAGTGTAATGTTCTAAACAGCTTAAGGAAAATCATTCAGTGACAATCCAACTGTTGTAATTTGATGACTGGTTATGAGAACGGGTATTTATGTGTGTAACCAAAGCTCTTGCCAAGGATTTGGCATAAGTATCTTCCTGAAGGCTTTGAGAACATAAATTTCAGTGACAAATCAGTCAGTATTGAAATGATTACTTCTGGATATCTGCAAAATTGATGTATTCAGCTGGTCTTCTAGAGTGAAGAGTCCCTGTCCTAGACAAAATTGTAGCTTACTTGTGAGAAATTTTTGTGAGTTTCCTTAGTTCTCTTTGAAAAATAGAAAAATTCTTAGGTTGTTTTAGTTTCAAGTCATGGTAGTCTCATTCTTCCACGTGAAGTAACTCAGTCTGTGTTTCATAACAGTTATGGTATTGTTTCAAAAGGAGCAGTCTTGGCATTTGATGTATTTCCTAGCCTTCCAGTACAACAGACAAAAGAGACTCTCCAGTACAATTCCTCCCCCCTCCCGCCCTCGCCAGTGATTTCTCAGATGGCATGGACGGAGCGTGCCAGTGGCTTCCTGACTATGCTAACGTTTTTTAATTGAGATTCTTTTTTTCTGTGTGGAATGCTATTACATACCTTTGTGAGGCAAAGAAATTTATTGAAGTTGACTGTGAAATCGGATAACCTGTATTCAGAAATGTTGGAGGAGAGCATTTTACAAAGGGCAGGTGTTGTAGCAAGAAAAGCAGAAAGACAAGATGATAATACACTGTGTGGGGAAATGAGGGATAAGAATTTGACTCTTATCTTACACTCTGACGTACCTTCTGTTTACTGTATATTCTCTAACCTACCCTGCCGCCTCTTATCTAATGTTTGTGTTATCCGCACTGCTTTTGGATTTGGCGTTTTATATTAATCTGGTTTACAACACTGCATTCGGAGTTTAGTGCTTCAGTGATGGGTGAAATGATGTGCATCGTGAAATGATTGCATCACTTACCTTAAGCAGCTTTTTAGAGAGAGGAAAAAAATATCTCTTCTCCGTGCTTATGAAAATGAATTTGAATATTCCTATATTCAATGTTTTTTCTTTCCTGTTTAGTTAGTTGGTGACATGCCAGAAGTTACAAAAACATTTTATAAAAAGAGCTATGTTATTTGATAAGATAAACAACTTGCTCATATTTCTTATCCACTAAGCACTTCTTGCTTTTTCAGATGTGATATCTTTCATAATTTAGATTTGAACACAGTCTGTGTTGTGAAACTATCATGAGAATAATTTTCAGTTTATCATGCATATGGTGTTTGTCTTTCATGACAGGCAGTAAAGTTTATCACATTATTCCTCACAGTTTTTTTCAGAGATTTCATTTTATACTGTAATCTCATTATATTGTATATAGTTCATCTTCCAATTCTGTGAGTAATAGTTCTCTTTTTCCTTCACTCATTTAGAGTGTATTTGATTACAATTAGTTGTGATCTTGCACCTTCTAATAATAAGATGATAAGATAAATCAAGTTGGGAAGCTTTTCTGGAAGTCATCTAGCCCAACCTCCACATATAGATACTACATATTCTAACAGTATACTATTTATTTCAAATAATTCTGAAGATTCCTGCATTTTTTTTATTATTTGGAGACTTGGTACTATATAATTAATCATTCCCTATCCTTCCAGATAGAGATAATAAATAAGCAAGTTTGTTGTTGCTAAGGTGTTCTCTGGCTGCGTACCGTTCATGAATATTTAAAGAAAATTTCTTTTCAGTAAAACAGTGTTTTTCTTCTGTATTAGTATGATCCATGTCACTAAATGATGCCTTTGGAAAGTAAGTCCTTTACTACTAATGTTTTATTTCACAGCTTTGCGGAAAAGAACATCTTGTACAATGTAGCATTAGTAATGCCAGTTGGGTGTTACTGTGTAAACAAGCCTGGACCCTCTGCATAGTCTTGAAAGAAATGGACTGAATGTTTTTCCTTTTTCTGACCTTTGTTTCAGTACAGGAGTTTAGTAGGATCCTTAAGATTTTTCATATAATTTGTGAATATATACAGTGGTTTCTGGTGAATTTTCAAGGATGTTGGACACTAGAAATACTTAGAATTTTAGGGCTTTTGTGAGGTGGTGTCTTCCATTTTAGAAAATTTATAAAAATTACTAGTATCACCATTTAAGGTTTTGATACTTTCCTTCCTCTTCTCTTTGCTTACTGTTGCTACTATGTGCTGATTCATTACTGTAATTAGTATTGCATATTTCCTCTGGTTTTAAGCAAAGACATTGCTAATGGCTCAGAGTGGATACACGTAGTTTTGTAATATTCTGATTTATCTTCAGGAAAACCGCTGAAGCAAAGAGCTGACTACAGGCTTTAATTGTGTCTTAAGTAATTTCACTGAGTAAAAGTGCTATAGAATAAAATATACTCTACTAAAGTTGTTCCTTACTGCATTAGCTTATAAATAAACTAGATTTCAAACTTTTGTGGGTTTTTTTTTCAGTTTAGCTTTTAATGTGCAGTCTTCTATTTTTGTAATCAAGCAACCAAAGAAAAATATGTCTTGTATTGTCATTAGGCATAAATAATCACCAGGGGTATAAAGGCTTAATTACCAGCACACGCTAGATCTCTGCCATTGGGTAATTTGTAGGAATACTAGATTGTCATCCTCTTATCAGTGAACTGATACATGGTGAAGCAACACATTACCACTGTCTTTCAGCTGCTTATTAAAATAGGAGAAGTGATCAGGCAGGGAAACTTGAGATTTGAGAGATGAGTGTGCTTTTAGTGTCGTAGTTCTCTGTCTTTGTTTTCCCATGTATTTCAGCCTGGTTTTTTTTTTTCCTTTTTTCCTCTGTCCTCTTCAACTTGTACTTATAGTCGTGTCACTTAGTCTTCAGCACAGAATGTGGCATTACTTGGAGCACTTGAAAAAATATTGAAAGTATTGTGTTTTTCACTAGTATTGTAACAGGCTGACAGTTTACTTAAAGTTAGATGGTAAAGTTTGGAAACATTGCAGAGGTAAAGCTGGGGCCTTCTATAAATTCATATATATCATGATGTACCTTTGTTGGAAACTAGCTAGATAGTAGCAGTGAGAAAGAGATGTCAAAGAATGAGAAGTAATAAGATGATAGGGAGGCATATTAGAAAATTATGATTGGGCTGTAGTATCCTACTTTGAATTTCAGTCTTGTATCAAAAACCTTAAATGATTTAAAGTCTTTTGGAAGTTCAGCTCTACTGTATCAGTTTTAAGTTCCTAGACACTATAGTAAAAAATGGATTTTATTTGAATGCTGTCTCAGTACAGAGAGAAGACGCTGAGTCTGTTCTCAAATGTAGAATTGAGATGACGTATGATTATTTCATGAGAATCCTTAAACCTCAATTTACTGTAGTTGTATACAGTTACTTCCTTGCAGAAATATTTATGCTTTCAGTGAGCAATCTTGTTGTCTAGCTGTCATATTGGTTTTCATGAATGATTTAGACTTATTTTAATATAGTATAAGGAATTAAACTATTTTTCTGTTTTTTCTTTAATATCAGCGTCCATCTCTAGTGGAAAAACTGGCTTGCTTTTTGTAGTCTAGGAAAAGAAAAATATCATAAAATATGTAAAATCATCAAGGATTATGTTAAATTTTGATAATTGCATAATCAATAATTTCTACTCAATTATTTAGCAACTGTCTACTAAAGGACTGAATAGAATTGAGATTCCATAGTTTGGAAAACAGATTTGAAATCCGTAGAAATATGAATATAGGACCAGTTGTTCACAACAGCAGTTTATTTTTGTGTGTGCATATATATAATGTATATATTTTGTCTGTGGGTGTATGAATATATATAGTATGATAAGGACCATCACACATTTGCATGCATTTCTGTATAGTTGTCATTCTTAAGTAAATTGCCATATATAACATGCCTACCTTTTTGTGTATGATGTGTTCACAGCTTTCTGTAATCTGTTGCATTTCTAGGGATTTGTCATTCCTAGAGCCTGCACTGCTCCACTGGCATAATTCTGACCTGCTCGTGTTCTCTCTTCTCTAACTAGTTGCAGGTTTCTTGTGTGTGATGTTACGTGCTGCACCTGAGGCACCTGCGTGTTTCTTTCCTGACACTTTCTTAAAGAGAAGTAGAAGTTGTCTGAGTTCACTCTCTCGCCACACATTTTAGTTGTGTTTCTTTTGCACAAACACTTCTGTCATATTTGGTTAACTGAATGGGCTTAGACAGACATTCGATTGGTCAGCTTTGTTTGAAATTCAGTCTTCCCCCCCAAATATGAACTAAGGTTCTTAATGTTCTTAGTGCAGTTTTGATAGTACCTGTTTTGATTACGTGTACTTTCTAAAGAAAAATGAGACAGGCACTGAAATATAACAGTCAAAGGGATTAACTAAATTTATTCTCTGAATAGTTTTCATTTAGGAATGGAATGTAGAAAACTTTTACCTTGAATATTGTTGCTGGAGTGCTGGCATTTTCTTACAGGTATAAAGTCTGCTTCTAAAGCTGAGTTTTTATTTCCTTGACATTAAATATTTGGACAACTAATAAAATGATTATCTAATTTTATACTGGCTATTCTGAATTTCCTTGTCTAGTATCCCATCCTTATTATTTTTAATCGACTGTTGATTTAGATAGACTGTATTGTTTTTTTCTGCCATCAATGTACCATGGTATAGAAAATTTAAATTAAATAATTTATAAAAAGATTTTGATTATGACATAATCTGTTTCACTCCTGTGTTCATGTGGCTCTGGAAGACTAATTTCCTGGTACTCTGGTGATGTTTTTTAATTTAACGTGTAAGTCATTATTTTTTTCATCTTGATGACACAACTTACATAAAGCTTATTAATATTGGATGGTATGCTTGTTTCTGTTGAAAGGGGCTTTCATATAGTTTGAGAAAATTCTGTTCCTTCTATCAACAGAGAAAATGAGGTGCTGAAAGTGCAGCTTAAGAAGTACGTAGGAGCTGTCCAGATGCTCAGAAGAGAAGGTCAAACAGTGGAAGGTAAGGGTGAAATGAAGGGCGGGGGAAGCCAAGCAAAAAATCCGTGCACAGGGTTTGTTTTCCTGTGTGCCACTGTTGAGATGGAGTTTACTGGAGGCATAGGTATAGTAACCAAACAATGGAAGTGATTCCTGGACTTGCATAAAAACATACAATGAAAGAATAACCAGTGAAGAGATGTCTTTGATTTACAACAGTCTGCTTGTTAAAATTTATTTATTTTTTTAAAATTGTTCCTGGAATAGATCTTTGTAGATAACCGACCACCCAATCCTGCGCAAGCCCATAATCAACACTTCAGCCAGACAAAACCATCCTAGGGTGGCTGGGACAGGGTTCATGCTTCCACATGGTCCCCAGTATGACATCAGCCCTCCCCTATTGAAAATATCAGGATCCGAAAAGATGACAGTTCTGTTTTTGTGAGAAATGCCCCTGGTACATTCCTGACCGGGCTATTTGCTGTTGTGTGAACAGTATTGTAATGCAGATTAATACCAAACAAAAAGAGGTTATGGGATGGCGTGCTACCAAATTACTGCTGAGTAGAAGCAATCAAGAAGTCTGCTTTCTTTGCTGATCCTTCTCCAAAACAAATGAAATCATTGACATGCAAGTGGGGTTAGCAGAAGATAATTATAAGCCCTATTCATCTCTTCTAACCATGGTAGAATAGTATCTCCCAGTAGTGCAAATAACATATTGATATGTTTTCCTTTTGAGAAAAATACTGAAGTAAACATGTACTTATTTTTACCAACCGTTTTCTGGTTGATGAGCAAGTCTTACTTTTTCATAAGAAACTTTCTAGAAAAAGCTATCAGATGAAAATTTAATTTAAAAAGTAATATGTTAATTAATGTGATATTGCAAAATAAGAATAATTTTGAGGAGAGAAAATTTATGATCTCTAGATTATACTTATTAGCGTTGTTTTGGAGATTAGTATTTACAGACTACTGGAAAAAGGCTCTGTACTAACACCAAACATTTCACTGTCCTTGCTAAATTCTCTGACTGTAAAGAACAGCTTTTCTATCTCAAACATAGTGAGTTACCAGCAGTGTTACGTGTGTTATTTCTGTGGTCAGTGGTGGCAGAAGTGCCCATGACAGGATGAACTGGAGTCACGTTTCTGGTGGGACCTGTATTTCCACAGGCAGCAGAAGGTATTTTGAGAGACAAGGTGGCAGAAATTGGCACCATCTGTCTTTTTTTTAAACTGTCAATATTGTGGTCATATAAGTGGCTGTATGAATGAATACTACTATAATTCTGCTCTTAAGGGCTAGTCTCTGTTCTTATCTGTAGTTTAAAAACTTCATTCATCCTTAAAAGGATTTTTGTTAGTGAGAGCACATGCTTTTACTTCCGACTTTGCTGGAGTGTAGTGATTCGTATTAAGAATTATTCACGAAAACCATCGCTTAAGCTTCTTATAATAGCAGAAATTATCTTTCATTAGATACTGACAGTTCCCATGATGAGTGTAATTATAGGAAAAGAAAAAAAAAAAATTCCTAGGCTAGCTATATTCTGCCATGTTAAAATTATGCAAATTAGTGAGTGATAAGAATAGAAACTGAGTAGGATGGCCAGATTTTATAGATGAAAAAGGAGGATAGAACAGTACCAACATTTCTAAAAATGAATACATATATGTTTTCTGTTCAAAGGATGTTTAATCAATCCACAATAATTTTCTGTAATATTTATCACTAGTGACCAGAATAAATTTCAGCTACACACACACTAATTGTAATAATTTTTCTTATGTTCTAATTTCACACATATTTTTATACAACCAAATTTTTTTCTTAGCTGCCATGGGAGATCTATGTGAAAATATTAGTAGCACTGAGACCTCTGACTCAAAAACGTATTTAAGAATGTAAATAATCCCTGAGAACTAATATATTTAGATATACTTCAAAGAAGAGGAGTGAAAAAAGGACTTTTTTCTTTTACCAGATTTATAGAAAATATTGTGCCAGTGGTTTGTGTACATAACTTGCAATGTCTGGTTGTAGATATTCATATTTTTCAGATGTGAGACATCATAACTAAGAATATTTGAATTATTAGAAAGATCTATTTATACTTCTGAGTACATATGTTACTGTGTAATTAAGGCAAATTATTGAATTCCAGCTGTGGTATAATTTAAAGTGACCATAACAACTTGTCTTAAGTAATTTTGTTCTTAATTAACTTACATTCGTAGAACAATTACAGATGATTTTTATAAGACCTGTTTTCTCACTGTTTTCTGAGATTGTGACAATTTTGTGAAGAAACTAGGATGAAGAAACTACTGTTTTCTCTGCTTTTGTCATTTTACGTTGAAATTCTTGTTGTTTTCTTACATATCAATTCACATACTTACAAGTTAAGGTTCTTGACTTCTATCTACCCTTACATGTAGACAGGGATATAGGATTCTGATTTCTTTAAACTTGGAAAACTCCCAACTGTCCTCTTCCACTGGAACGTTAGGAAATTGTCTTCACTGAGGAGGCATAAACTGCTGCCTAAAACTAACTTCACTGCTTCCCTGTGTTATGATGAGTAATTGCAATGATGATTACTCTTCTTCCAAATGGTATCAAAACAAAAGGCTTAAATGTATTGTAGGTTTTGGAACACTATGTGTTTGGATTTGCTGTGAAACTGTTTTGAAAGAGACAAAATAAATTGAGCTTCTGCTGTTATTTTTATGACTAAAAATAGAGAATAATCTATGTTTGCTGCAATAATCAGATCAAATGCTATTGCGCATGGGTTTTAAATAGTTTCCTAAAATAATAAATGAAAATCGGCATGATACTTTGCCTGGCAGTGACTTAAAAAACTGAAAAAACACTCAGCAAATGTGATCATAAATAAATTATACAAGAGCCAGAAGTGTGTCAAGTTCAGAATATCATACCAGCTTTCAAAATGAATGATCACTGCCATAGACTGAGCAGTTTGGTATTGGTATTTAAATATTTAATAAATGAGCATTCTGATTTCTCAGTCATCAGCAGGAGTTGTATGTGTACCATTTTTCAAACTTGCTTAGATAGAATAGTATTATTTATATGAAAGTACTGATCTTCAAAGTTTCTGACTGGAGAACTTCAAACAAGGTTTACAAGAAATAGCTCTTAAAATAGCTTTCAAAATTCTCTTAAAATAAAAATAACTTTCAAATGTATTATACTTCCTCAAAGCAAAAATCAATTCCCAGGCTCAAGAATATTTAGTCAGATGAATTATGGTGTCTTTTATTCTCCTTATAGTAGTTGTATATATAAACTAGATTTTGAAAAATGATGGTGTTTGTCAAACCTCGTTTTTATTAGAGCTTGTTTACTTTTTATGTGCTGACTCGTTTTTTTAAAACTTTGTGATCTGTGAAGACAAGTTGAATTGGACTTTGCGTAACTTGGAGGAGACTGAAGTGATCATCAAATACATAAATAAAAGCTGGGAACAGGAATAGAAAAAAGGTTTTCATTTGCTGTGGATAAGAAAAGAAGTAACGGGCTTAAATGGCAGGTGGAGGGAGTTTGATTAGCTATCAAGAAAATCTTTCTGAGAAGAATACTTAAGTTTAAATAGATTGTGCAAGGAAGCATGAAATCTCCATTATTGGAGGTTTAGAGGAATAAGACAGCTGTCAGGAATGAGATAACTGGGGCTGATTCTGCTTTATGCAAAAACATGAAATACTAGATGAAGTATGGAATGTCCATTCTCAGCCCTATTTATTGTAATTTCTATGATATATAAGTAGTCTGTGCAAGTAATATGAAGTGATATTTTGGAAGAGAAGTAGAAAAAACACTTAGAAGAGAAGCAAATGCTTAATTTTCAAAGGCTTTGGGTAGGAATTGCAGTTACTACCTACATGTAATAAACAGCTGTAGTCACGAAACAGAACATTCTTTTAGTTTGCATTTTTTTTTGTTGAGCGTACCTGTCTTAAAAAACAAGTTTCCTGCAACGTTTGTATTTTGATATTTGTAATACTGGTTATATTATATCCCATTCTGGTACTTCTAATAACAGTTTCTTTTAAAGCTATTACTTCTAAACAGATTGTCTTAGATGTTCATATAATTTAACATTTTAATTTGACGTATGTCTTTGTTTTAGTTCTGCCAAACATTTGGAGCACTGATGCTGAATTTGCTATCCCAGAGCAAAAGCAAGTAGAAAACAATGAGGAACTGGCCAGCTCTTATGAAAGAAAATTGATTGAGGTAAACTTTTTACTGCACAGATTTTATGGAATCATAATTGTAACATGACATTTGAAGGTGTAAATAGTTTATTTTCTTCATTATTATTTTTCCCCATTTATGCAAATGACAAGTCTGATTTTTGCTTTAAGTAAATAAATATGAAAGATTTAATGTTCAGGCTTCTTTGATTAAAATACAAATTCGTTCATTCGACTTCCAAACATATTTAAACCAATTTCGATAATTATAAATACTTTTCCTAACAAAGGTATACATTTATACTTTGATGTCAAAGCAAAGGCTTTAATAAGTAAACAAGCTCCTTGAAGTTATAGCTGATGGTGGCGAAGTTGAAAGTATCACAGACAATAGCTTTCAGGTATTGTCTACATTACAGTACATAATCACAGGCATTGCTGTTGTGTCAGTTGACATACTGAAATCTGTAGCTGCTTCTGTGCTTTCATGCTGTTTTCTGATTGCCAACCTGTGTTTCATTTTTATATTGCTTTGCCGTGTAGTTTATTGAATACTGCAGCATGGAAATGGATGATGGAAGCTACTCATTCTGTTGATATGACCATGTTCAAAAAAGTTCTTAATGCAAGATTTGCTTTTAAGATTAATGCAGAATTCATTAAAAACAAAAAAGAAAGATTAGGGTTTCCTCCTAAAATTAAATACAAATGATTTTCCAGAAAAAAGTAATGAAATTTAATGTCTAATACCTCTATCTCCCATTAAATAATAAATGAACATTTTTATAAAAAGTAAAACAATTCTCTGTGTCTTCCTCTCACCCAAAATACTCTGAAATCGCATACTTACGTTAACTGATTAATTCGAAGGTGGCTAAAAATGCAGGTCATGCATCAAGAGATTAATAGAGTTCTTCTAAGATGTTCACACTGGGTTCTCTTTCTCATGTGAAACTAATTCTTT